CCAGGATTTAGAAAATGGGTGTTGATCTTTTTGTTCATTCTTTTTTACTTTGTGAAAGATTAACTTATTTTGTGTGCCCTTCCTTTTCTTAAAATGTGACAGACTTTTATATTTAAAAAGTAATTCTTGTTTAAAAGAACAGTTATCTAGTTTTGGCTTGATGCAGCTGAGATAAGGGCCAGAACAGTTAGTTCTGCAGTATGAAATGAGAGACAGCTCTTTAGGTAAATATCACGCAACTGGATATTATACACAAAGTAGGATTAGTACAGCAAGGACAACTATTGTTTCTAGAAGCTGTGAACTACTAGTTCACCATAAGAAAACAAAAAACACATGAGAGGAAAAAGCTTAATATTGATTGAATGGCTAATGATGTTGAGTGCTGACCATCGTCTGCTGATGCTATATTGAGCATATCTCAGAGACCAATTGTAAGAGTTCTCCCAAACCAGGGTGCTGCAATGCCTCAAGCTTCCCATATCTTCTTGTACAATGAGCAGCACTGCTGATTTCACTGCAGGTAGTCTGCATTTAACAAATGCTTTAAGTCTAATCAGGACACTGAGCATCCCAGGAATTGTAAAATAAAATTAAAAAAAAAAAAAAAAAAGATGAAGCCATACTCTTCTAGTGGTGCCCAGTGAAAGGAGATGAGGTAAGAGGCACAAATTTGCAATGCAGGAAATTTTACTTAAACATAAGAACTTCTTTACTCTGAGGGTGGTCAAACATGGGAACAGGTTGCCTAGAGAGGCTGTGGAGTTGCCATCCTTGGAGATATTCAAAGCCTGACTGAACATGGCCCTGAGAAACCTGCTCTATTTGACTCACCTTTTGAGCAGGGGTTTGGATTAGACAATCTCCAGAGATCCCTTGAAGCCTCAGCTCTTCCGTGATCTTGCGAAACTGAAAAGATCAATTACTCTTGTTTAAAGCCCAAGCTCAGTATCCTTTGGGGAAAACTGAAACAGAACATGATTTTTTCAAATTATCCATGTATGCCATTTATGCATACTAAATGGTAGCATAAACCTGTCTTCAGAACACTTACACTGATGTAACTCTTCACCCTAAAACAAGAATACAGCACATATGAACTTCTGTAACACCTGATGCCAAGTATATGCAAAAACTAAAAGCTGAAAGAGGTTCAGAGTAGTAAGGTCTTACAGAACATACATATTATCTTATCTTGTCTTCTTTCCCTTTCCCTCCCTCCATCCCTCTCTCTTTTATTTTCTTTCTTTCTGTCTTGTCTTTCTTGCGCGTGTTACTGGTAGCTCAGGTATATGTGGATGGCACTATTTTTTTATGAGACTCTGTACCAAAATTAAAAGAGGCCAGCTCTCAGTAACCCATAGCTTTCAAACTTCTCCAGATGACGGCTGTACAAAGCTACTACACTGTTTTGTGCTGGCTTTGCAGCTGTCATCTCTTTGAATCCTGAGGTTTTCCCCTGCCCACCCAGCTGCTGAAGAAAAGCAGACGCATGAGCCATTTCAATCCAAAAGAGAAAAAGGCCACGAGGATGGTAGAAGATGAGTTTGTTAAGAGAAAATCCATGTGGGTTTGCTCTTCCAGTTATATATATGCTTAGGACTTGAAACTGCTACTGGGAATTTTGCAGTGCCAAGAAAAGAGAGGGGAGAAAAAGCAATGTTGGTGGGTGTGTGCATGTGAAAAGTTAAAAACTGGTTTCTGCAGACTGATGGTGGACTACAATCTACTACAGCAGATTTTAAGGAAGGAGCTAGAAAAAAATAAACCAAAACAAAGCAGCTAAATCGGAGGCATCCAGAGTTTGTAGAATTTGTAAAGAATATACATTCTTAAAAACTTATTTGTCATGGATGCTTAGAAATAAATTTTATTTCCAATGGAAGGTTTTCAATATTTTAAATTGTTTCTTTTCCCCCCTCAGTTCTTAAATGGGGCTAAGAAAAAAGCTGGAGTTCTAAGGACGGGGACCAAAATGGGGTGTACAGGGTGGGAAAATAAGAGATTAGCCATGGAGTAATTTCTGCTGCTATTTGGACAGAGGACAAAGTTTTCTTTTAAACACCTTTTCACTGACAAGCTTTCACATCTTTATTTCTGCTTGTTGTTTTATTTTTTTTTATTGTCAAGTAGTTGGAAAAATGATGTATGTCTAATCCTTGCAATTAATGAAAAATAATCATATGCTTGTTAAGTAAATAATATCATTCAGCATGAAGAGAATTGTAAAATGGATAAAACACAGAGCTAATGAAGAATATTTGTATCATGTAATATTTCTCACTGAAAATTAATGAAATGTGAACGTTGCAGCAAAACATTAAAAAACTGGCTTTAAGCCAAAGTATGGGAAAAAGTAGAAAACACTTGCAATATTCAAAACAAGGTGGTTCTGATGCTTACAAACTTAGAAGGGCCTTTTCTGTCCAAAATTATATACTTGTTCACAGTAAAAGCACAAAAATAAAGTGAGGTTGTACAAAATTGTTAAACTATTATCATTGACCTGGACCAAAACATTTATATGGATAAGCAAGAGAGACTTGTGACTTTGTTCCTGTATTTGACAAAGCTCTTTTACACTAACATCAAAAAAACTTGATGCAAAATAATCGGTTCTGAATCCAATCCCACTTGCTCTGAAGTCTATGTCAGCTCTGCTGGGAAGTCGAGAGCAGGACTGAGTGCATGTCTAACATGTAGGTGACTAATATTTTGTGTATGCAAGCTTAGAATAAAAAGTATAAGTGAGTTGTGCATTTTTCCTCAAAAAAAAATATGAACGAACTCCATTATGACTCACCTTTTTTTTTTTTTTTACATTTAACTTTTACCAGGGGACAAGGGAGACTTCATCCTAAACTTGTAATATTCTTGTTTTTAAAAGTTACAGGCACTATTTTTCCCACACTATTACATTTGCCCTTCCAACTATAGACAGCAGGGCAGGATTTATATGTAATACTCTGGAAATCTCTCTCCAGGATCTAAAAATAGCCTTTCAGTTTATGAGAAGTTTGCAGCAATAAACTACATGTTGTAGTTTGTTAAAATGGGAATGCTGAGTGTGATTGGAGAGAAGGAATTCCCAGATCTCCACAAGTTAAGTAAATTTGTTACTATTTCTGATACTTAATAGGAAATTATTTCCTAATCTTGTCATTAGCCCAGAGCTCAGTATTACTGTCTTGAGACTTGGACTAGACTAACTTTGAGAACACTTCACACAATCATGGCAGTTTGGGATATGAGCAAGCAAAGCAGTGGTATAGTGGGACATGAAGATAAAATGGAATGTATACTTGCTGCAGCTTTGGAAATACTTAAGAGACAAACCCGTACTTGTAGTTAATAGTAGTTTAACATAGAAGGGGAAGGAAAGGTGGTGTTAACAGCAGAAAAAAAGAAGGAATGAGGAACAGGAGATGATTTTGTCATGAGTACAGAAGGCCAGTGAGGCTTTAACTTGTTTTAAAATCCTCACATTGAGTAGCATTGAGTTCATTTCATATAAACAAAACTTTTTTTTTTTTTAAGATTTAAATACTTGCGTACCCAGTACATTAATCTGTGATTGAAGACAATGTACAGTCCTTTTGAATGACTTTTCCTCACTACCTTTTGAGAACGTTTTACAATGAGATCTTAGGACACCCAGTCCATGAATCTGTATCCCCTTCTGGTAAATACTTTCGCATCTGCTTGTTCATATCAAGACAGACAGCTGTTTCTTTGCAAATATTGTTCCTGATTTATATGCACACAGGCCCGACCTCTTACAAAGCTAATAATCAAATGAGTGGCAAGTAGTAACGAGCGGCATTTTCCCTCAGCATCTCCCGAGGCGGGGAAGGTCCCTGAGGTGAGGAGGGGACGTGCTGTGGCAGTCGGCAGAAGGGGAAGGAAAGGGAGTGCGATTGAGGCACAAAGCTGCTGCATTTGCAAAGAAGCACGTACCGTTTTGCTGTTGAGGGGTTCTGGTAGGCCCCGGAGTTCAGGGATGAAGAGCCCGTGTTAATAATTAAGGCAAATAACTACACTTGGTAATTCTGTTTTAAAAGAGAGGAACACCTCACGCACTGGAATTTTGTGCGGCGATTGAATTACAAGGTAACATTTATTTTAAACACTGCTTCTGGTTAACTGGGTTCATGAGCTCGGCGGCTGGCCGTGCCTGCGGGCCGCGCTGCAGCGGCCGGGCGCGGAGGAGGGCGGAAGGCAGCCAGCGCCCCCGAGCGCCGCCGCGCAACTCTGCGCGGCAGCCCGCCGGGACGCGCCGCGCTCTCCGCGGTGCCGACCCCCCCCCCAAACCGAACAAAAAAGGGAGTGAGAAAAATTCCCCGGGTACCAATCGCAGTTGGGCCGTGCGGTTCAAACGGGCTGACGCTGCCGGCAGCCTCCTGAGGCGTCCCCGGCGCCTGCGCAAGCCGAGCCCGGCGCTCCGCTGGCGCCCGGCGCCCGCCCGTCCCGCCGCAGGACCCGCCAGCCCGGCACCGCGAGGCGAGCTCACCCGGCCGGGAAACGCGCGGGACGCGGCCGTCGCGCCTGGTCCATGCTTTAGGCGTGGAGCGCCCCGCCACCCTGCCGCTCCGCCCAGGCAGGGTGAGCCGCGGGCAGGGAGCAGCGCGGCGCCGCCCGGCCCCTTCCCTCACCGGGGAGCTGCTCGGGCCAGAGCCGGGGCGCCCGCGCCCGCTCCCGCGCCCGCTAACGGCCGGGCGCCGGCGCGCCCCCTGCCGGAGCCCCGCACGGCCTGCGGGGCCGGGTCAGTGCTTCCGCGTGGGGCGGGGCGGGGCGGGGGAGTGACGGGTGACACGGCCGCGGACCGATTGGCTTGATCGGCGCCGGGTGGCGCCCTCCACGTTCGCAGCGCTCGTTGATAGGCCGACGGCAGCGGCCGGGGGCGGGCCGCTGCGGCACGGCGCGCTGTTACAGGCTGCTTCGCTCGTCTGGGCCAGCCGTGGGCGCAGCGGCCTCTACGATTGGCCGCTGGGCAGTGGGAGTGGCGGGCCGCGGCGGCAGCGGCCTCCCGGGGCTGGGGTCCGTCTCGGCGGCAGCGGCGGAAGTCTCGCGAGGGAGCGTAGCCGGGATTTGGCGGCTGGCTGCCTCCCTCCCTCCCTCCCTCTCGCTGGCTGTGAGGAGCTGGTGTTTGTGTGGAAGGGGGAGGAGGAGGAGAAGGAGGGGAAGCGAGAGGAGCCCGAGCACCACCATCCGCCGAGGGGAGCGGACCGGAGCCCCCTCGCCGCCCGCGGAGCTCTCCCCCTGCCTCGCCCCGCCATGGCCTCGGGAGACACCCTGTACATCGCCACGGACGGCTCGGAGATGCCGGCCGAGATCGTGGAGCTGCACGAGATCGAGGTGGAGACCATCCCCGTGGAGACCATCGAGACCACCGTGGTGGGCGGCGAGGAGGACGAGGAAGAGGAGGACGAGGACGAGTGCTGCGAGGAATGCGGCCCGCACCACCCGCCCCATCACTACCACCACCACCAGCCCATGATCGCGCTGCAGCCGCTGGTCTCGGACGGGGACCCCAGCGGGGCGGGCGGCGGCGCGGCCGGCGGCGGCGGGGGACAGCTCCACCTGCACCACCACCACCAGGAGGTGATCTTGGTGCAGACCCGCGAGGAGGTGGTCGGGGGAGACGACTCGGACGGACTGCGGGCCGACGACGGCTTCGAGGACCAGATCCTCATCCCGGTGCCGGCCCCCGCCGGGGAGGACGAGTACATTGAGCAGACCCTGGTCACCGTGGCCGCCGCCGGCAGCAAGAGCGGAGGCGGCGGCTCCTCCTCGGCTGGCGGCGGAGGCCGTGTGAAGAAGGGCGGCAGCGGCAAGAAGAGCAGCAAGAAGAGTTACCTGAGCGGGGGAGGCGGCGGCGGGGCCGAGGGCGGCGGCGGCAGGAAATGGGAGCAGAAGCAGGTGCAGATCAAGACCCTGGAGGGGGAGTTCTCGGTCACTATGTGGGCCTCGGGTAAGTGCGCGCTGGACCCCTCCCTCCCCAGGCCCCGGGCCCCGCCGGCGGCCGCCCGGTTCGCCTCGGACAGTTTTGTTTTGAAGGGAGGCCATGTTTTGATGTGTGTGATGGGCGCCGCCATGTTCATCGCCAGGGCAAGTATGGCGGCTCCCCCGAAAAGATGGCGGGGTCTGCGCTGCTGCCGCCGCTGCTCCTGCCCGGCTCCGGCGGGGGGAAGGAAAGATGGCGGCGGCCGCCAAGATGGCGGCGGCTGAGGGAGGCGGGGGGGGGGGAGGGGGGTGCGAGAGGGAGGCAGGCAGCGCGCCGCTGGCTCCAGGACTAGGCCGCAATGGCGTAGTTTCTGCAGCAGGGGGAGGCGGGGTGTGCGGGCGGGCACAGGGTGCGGGGCGAACCCAGCCTCCTCGCTTCTCCCCCCCCCCCGTCCCCGCCCCGCTGCCGCCGCCGCTCCCCGCCGCCCGCTCCACGCCTGCCCCTCGCCCTTCCCTCCCCCGGCCGCCGCCTCCCGCCGCCCTCTCGCCTCCTCCTCGTTCCCCCCCGCTTCCCCGGCCCGCCTCTCGTCCCCGGCCGCTGCTGCCTTCCCGGCTCCCCGCCTGCCGCTCCTCTCCCTCCCGCCTCCCTCAGCCGCTGCCGCGCACCTGCGGCCCCATTGGGCCGCATTTTAATGCCGAACGCGGGCGGCGGACCCGGATGAGGCGTGTGCTGCGGGCCGTGACCGTTATGTGGCGGGGAGAGGCGGGGGAAGAAGAACTGCCCGCCCCAGCGCCGCCCGTCCCGCCGGCTTCCCCCAGCCTGGGGACGGCCATCTCCCCGAAATACCGTTTCACAGCTCGCCCGGCGGCGGTGGGCCGCCCGGCGGCGGGCCGCTGCGGTAGCCGGGCGGGCCGTGGGTGGCGCCTTCCCGCCCGAAGCCAGTGGTGCTGCGGGGGGAAGGCAGCGCCTCTTCGCCCCCGCGGGGGCTGCCCGCCCCTCCCGCCGGGCTCGGAGGGGGCGGCCACAAACAGCCGGCCTTTCGGGCATCCCCTTGTCAGGACGCGGGGGCTGGCGGGCGGGAGGGGTGGCCCCAGCGCCCCGCGGGCAGGGCCCGGCCCCGGGAGCCAGGGAGCAGCGTCTGCTGGAGAGCGTTCAGCTTTTCCTCGGCTAGGTGTAGAGCTTTAAATAGGCGCTGGGAGGCTGTGTTGTGTGAGATTTCATAGGGGCTTTTTGAGGAATTGGGTTTTTTTGGGGGGAGTGTCTCTTAAAGGGAATACTGTGAAGGTGTTTAGTATCTGCGGGACTTGGAATAAACCCGACGTGCGCCTGCCCTGCCCGCTTATTCTATCTGACACGATTTTCTGATCCTTTCCTTAAAAATATGTGTGTGTGTAGGGGGAAGAGTTTTTAGTCAGCAGAAAAGTGTTACTTGTGGCACATTAAGGCGTTTGGTTTGGGTTTGTTTTGTTTTTTTTTTTTTGTTTTTTTTTTTTTTACAAAAAATACTGCTGGCAGCTAGGGTCTGTGGTCAGTTCTGTGCTAAAGTTATGGAAATGTGCAAAAAAAAAATAGTCAAATAGTATTAGTTCATGTAATATTTAAATTGGTGTGTGGTGTTTGAATGGTAGGTTGGTAATCTATCTTGCATATCATAATTTTCGTGCTCTTTTGAATTTTTAAGGAGTTTAGTAAGAAATACTCTTTAAGCTTCTGATGTAGTCTAAAATGTTTCCTCTCTGATGTTTGTGAATGACCAGTAGTTGTCAGAAAGGGCAGTGTTGAAGGTAAAGTGTATTGGATGGCTGAATTCACTTGTCTGAAAAGACGGAAAGAATGGTAGTTCTGTTTTTTACTCTCTTTTTAAATATAGGTGATTATTTAGCAAGCTTGACAGCGTATATGACACTTCTGTTATATAGTTGCTTGACAGCCCAACGAGTCTGATCAAAATCCCCTGCTTCTTGATGAACAGAAAAGAGGAAGAGTTTCCCAAATACTGTGTAGTAGAATGGGATTCTCTATGCTTCTGTGTATCATTATATGAAACCTGAATAAATCCACTTGCAGTGGGTTTTTTCCTTAAGATTGCCCATCCAAGAAAGAAAAAATATAATGGAAACTAATATATTCTTGTTTGTGGAAGCTACCTAAGATAGTTGAATGCAAGTGGATGTATGACTCATGAGCTGGCAGGATACAGGACCTCACTGAGATCAGTTGACAATTTCTAGCATGCATTTGCACTCAATTCAGAGTGCCAGATAGGATGCTTCCTTAGAGCTTCTGCATGCTGATTATTACTTGACTGAAGTGAAGCATGTGTATAATCAATACACTTGATTCTCTTCCTGCATACACAACTTTTAGATCAGGGTAGCCCTATTGATTTCAGTGGTGGTGTTCTTTGTGAGCATGACCATGCAAGCTCATGATGGGAATGATACCCACTTCTAATTTACTGGAGATTGAATTGCATTGCTACATTCAACTCATATCCATGATGCAGAATACCTAATCTGACTTGACTCTAATGCCAAAAAAGCCTTCCAAAAGCAAAATCACAAAATATGTAGGTGAAAGAAAAGTATTAAAGTTTGGCGTCCTCTCCCTGGGTACATGCGTGCACGCACCACCCTTCTGCACACCCCCCAGCTTCAAACAGCCTTTGGTAATAACCTGCTCAGTTAAGAGTGTTGTGAAATTTTACTGAGCCTATTGGATAGGCTTTTATGCCTCTTAAATAGTTTATCGAATGTTATAGAAGTTGTCTGAAGTGGTCAAATGCTGAGGGTTTGTTGTCTGTTTTCTGAAATTTTAGTGGGGGAATGGTTGCCAGAAAAATTTCAAAAGAAGCACAACTGGGGAGGAAAAAAAAAAAAAAAAAAACGTACCAAGAACAAACTACTGGCTTGCAAAAGAGTAGGTGTACTAAAGTTTCCCTGCAAAATCGGGCATACTTTATTTTGAACAAAGATAGTACTTTTTCCTCTGTATTTTGACATAATTAAAGACTTGCTTGGACACTGATGTAATTGACTGGTTTAAATGCTTAGCAAAAAGTTTATCGAGAGATGAATAGTAAATAAGCTCATGCATCAAGATAAAACAATGAGCCCTATATTGCTGTTCATGGGTATTTGAATTGGGAACAAGGGCACTTTGCTCACCACAGTGTGGGAAGACAATGTGAATTAATTCCTTGTTACTGTTTTCTAGTGCTGCTATATTAACTTGTTCACGGGTGGTACCAAATTTAGCCAACCATAAATCTTTGTCCGTAAATGAGCATAACATGTCTGGTAGCACCTCTTGAAATGTGTAGAAATAATCTGTGAAATATATAGCAGTGTGATTAAAGGGGACTACTCAATCCTTGTGTTGTTAAGCGATTACTTAGAAGTTGCAGTACTGTTGTTGGCAACGGTTTAGACTTACAATAACTTCTCTTATCACTTTGGTATCTATGGTGATATCAAACTTGTGACCCATGATTACTTTAATTAAAGTGTTCAGTTTGAAGTAGGAATGCTTTGTTCTAGTCCAGATTACCTTTCCAGATCTTCGGAATGGAATTATTTGTCTTTCTTCACATGTGAAAATAGGAACTGAACAAAGGTGTTGTATTTTCTGAAAGGGTTGAAGAGGTGTATACGGTGTATACTTTAATGTTCCTGGTAGTGTGTTTTCTCTATACAGTCTGATATCTATCCTTATTATTTTCAGTGGGGTATCCTGTAATGGATTTAGAAATTTGTCTATTGTTAATGGGCTCTCCAAGTGAGACACCCCAGTTTGTACTAGGAAAATTTGTTTTTATGAAGTGGAGTTTATTTGTGCCTTTGCTAGATTCAATTTGAATCAACCTCTTTAGTGAGTGTTTCCAGGTTGGGTACACAATAGTGATGGGGGTAGGGGAAGGATCATTAGAAATCACTTTGTCAAATTCTGCTTGCAAAACTGATTCTTAGATGCAGGAGCATTTGGGAAGGTGGTGCTGAAACACTGGCTACACCAAATGCTGGAATTTCAAGCAGCGGGGGCTTAATTTTGAGGGGGGAAAATGTGTTAGTGTAACTACATCTGCTTATAGGTAATGAGTCTTGGCTCTGTCAAGATTTCAGACCTGAAATAGGTGTTGGCTTAAACTATTATTGTTAGCATAGGTAGTCTGAAAGTTTAGGGCTGAAATAGCACAACCAAACTAAACACTGCCCACAGATGATAAAGTGCTCAAATATCCTGCTCCTGGATGGGAAGGACAAAGATGCAGAAGCTATGTGTGTGGTTTTGAAATGAACCTTGATCATTCAGGAAGCCTGTGCTGTGGACCCATATGTGGAAACTTGGGGTGTTCATGTTAGGTTTCTAGAAGGTTTTTCAAAACCTCTTAAAAAAATTTTAATGTCTTAATAAAAATAGAAGAGTTTTCATTTGACTTCATCGGGTTGCAGGGGTGAAAAAAGTAATTAACTGCTATCTGACCAGTTGTCTTATGTAGTATAAATTATAGATAAGTCATTTAGTTCAGTTCTGGGCCTGTATCAAGGATGGCCAAAATTCTTTGGGATGACAGATAGGTAATGAGCTGCTTATATGAAAATTTTTAATAATGTAGGCAGAAAGTGATTGTCTGGTTCCTTTAAAATATTAAGATCATAATCTGTTTCTGATTAAGACAGCGGTATAGGCTTTTGCTATCCATAGGCATAGGCATTGAGTCTGCCCTGACATTTTTGCCATTGAACCTTAGAGGATAAGGTAGATATTTTCCTGCAGGTGTTTTAAATATCTTTCCAGTTTTGAAAGTTAAATACATGAATGTGGTTCACCACTTGGAATGTTTCAATTAAGTTGCCTCTTTAGCCTTACTTCAAACTAGAATCCTCTAACTTGCTATCGGATCCTTTCCCGAGAGGTCCTTGTCACGTCTGTACAGATGATTCAGAAGGTCATAGTGCTTCAACACAGTGTCTCACAAATGTTGAAGTCAGATGATGACTATTGATATATGCAGTGGTTTTGTCAGTTCATGTCTCAGTGGTGTGAAAGAAAAGATGGGTGACAGGGAAAGAAGAACCTGTTCTCCATCTGTGTGCAAGGCATATCAGAGGGAAAGTAACCTAGCAGCCAGTTAGGTTAAAAAATGGCACACTGTGCAAAATGGAATTTAACATTCAGAAGTGTCTGCTAAATAACTGTATTATTTAACAAGGTAATTATGGTTCTTTGCCTCCAAACATGACCAAGGAACTAGTTCGCCTGAGGAGATTGCAACGTGGTAGCAATAACGAAGCTGTTACCACAGTGCCTTGGTACTGCGCAGTTGATGAGTACATCCTTTATCGTGTAATTGCATTTCAGCTGTTCCTAAAACCAAATGTGTTTAACTGTGTGATCATAAGAGGAAAATTTATGCTTAAATGTTGTTCATCCTTTTAGCTGGTAAGCAGAATGTCTTTTAACTTGGTACCTTGGGGAGTAAGCTATAGGATTAGGTCTCATTCCTTTGCTACCTTCTGAGTTCTCTTTTGCACTCCCTGGTTGAGTAACATGTTCTACCTGCTCTGTAATAGAGGAGGATGATGGCTTGGAGAATTAGGGATCTAGAAGTAGAGTACAACGACTAAAATTGGGCATAACAGTGGCAGAAATACTGACAGGGCTTCTTGGGTTGAGAATTAAGGGGGTCATCTTGTAAAGCAGGGGAGCTCCAGACATGTCAGCTGGAGCTAGCTACTATTCTTGAAATGCATGAAATATTGGGCTTCTGAGGTGGATGGATTTTCTGTGCAGCAGAAGGACTGCAAGAGATGGAGAAAGCATGGTAATAAGAGCCAAAGGTAATAGATAAAGTCTTGGGAAACAGATTCTACCATGTTTTGTCATTGATCTGTTACATGGAATCTACAGTTACCTAGTTTTATCACAGTAATCTGGCTTCTTCCTACTTCATTTGGTTCTCGGGCTTGGTATTCTTAAAACTTCTGGTTATTTTACCAGTAGAAATATGTTTTAGGTGGTAGTCAAAAGACATGGCTGGGTAAAATGCAGAAGTGAATCCAGTTCAAGGTGTGTATTGCCCATATATGAGAGAAGTGCAAATGGAAGGACATTGAACACAAAGATTTGTTTGTATCTAGTAAATAGCTACATAGAACAGCCCAGTTTAGACTAAGTATATATCTTGATATAATTTGGTGCAGAAGGATGTTGGGGGGGATATCTGTGGTGTCTCTAACAAATAGGTATGTTACAGCTTTATAAAACAGATCAGTATTGTTCTGAGCTATTGCAGTGACTGGTAGTGCTTGTTTTTGTGAAGATAAAGTGATTAACTAACTGACATGCATTCAGATAGTCAATATCTTTCAGATGATGGACTAAAATCGTGTTCCACGTTCCTTACAGAAAGCTGCATTAGATCTATAAGAATAGTGCTAAATATACATTTAAGCAGAATGCCTTATATTCAAGTCTGCTGTACTGTCAAGTGACTTTAAGGGACAAAACAAAGCAGATCAGATAATATATAGCAGTTATTTTCCTTTTCCTGACTGACTTCATGGCTCTGTCTGTATTTAGCTTTCATGGGTGCCATCCAGATTAGCTTGGCATGGGCCTAAACTACACACAGTTAGTATGCCTTATTTGTATTGTACTTTTCCAGAGGTGTCACTAGAACTCCAGGCTTGTGTTTTGTTTTGCTTTGGATGTGGTATGTTTGATTCTCTGATCCTTCATGTGAGGAAAAGGAGGAAGTAATTTGAATATAGTGGACATCAGGACTTGCTTGAAGGCAGAAAACATCAAGCAGTCAAATTGCCCTGTTTGCAGTGAGAATATTGGTTAACCTGTCAGCCTGAGTGAAAGTTTGCTTGGACTTTCACCTCCAAACTTTGAGCTGCCTAGTCCAGGTTGGTAGGGATCACAAATAAACTTGGGATAAATTTGCACAGAGGACACTGGTAAAGTTCTTCCAAACTTCTTTCAAAGAAGTGTGTTTGGCTTTTTTGTGTGTTTTTGTTCTCTTTTCCCAATGAGTTGATAATGTCATGGGATGGTCTGTAACTAGGTTGGTCTGGATATTAAAGAGCTACCGAAGTCTGCTGCTACTTGTGAAAAAGTATTTGACTTTTGGTGTGAACCAGGCCTTTTATCTTGAGGGATGTTAGCCTGACATAACACTTTAAGGTAACTGTTTTGTGTGTTGTTGTCTTGGTTTAAATTAGTTTTTAAAACTGCAGGTATGTGCTGCTGTAGAGATACAGTTTTTTGGTATAGGAAAATTTGATTGTTTGTTAGTTTCACATAACTGTCAATCTATGAAGTGATACTTTCTCTTATTTTCTGCTGTGTCAAAACAATATGTTCATAGTTTTTTATGTTTTACTCTAATAGCTTGTGGAATTGAATAGCTGATTTCTATTGGAGGACCTTTGGGAAATAAAGGCACTGAAGGCTGACTTTCAGTTTGGCCCTCAAATAACAAGAAAGCATTGTGGAATAGTGAGCCTTTCTGCTAGGGAAGGAAAGAAGATCTTAAGGAATGTATACAAAATTTCCCTGTTGACTCATGCATCTGATCTGAGGCAGGAAATGAAAACTTGTTTCTGTTATATGAATGTCATCGAACAGTCAAACTGGAAGTTCTGGCTAGCTGTTGAAATGGCTACATTGAAGGCAGCTGGTTTCATGCTAGTCTACAGCATGAAGGTCACTTTTAGCTTTCCAGAAGTTCTGTGCTCTTCTGAGCTTCATAATGTCTTTTCTGCCTGTGTAGGCATTGCAAAATATCTCTTCTCAAGCTTCTGTTTGGGAGAACAAATTGTTGCCAAATTGGAGATTTATTGACTTGAATTTGTAATGCCTGCAAGTGCTATAAAATTTACCATATAATCCTTGCTTAAGGTAAATTCAGTTGCTTTCTTTAAAGCACTGGTAAAGACTGAAAGGTAATGTGGTAAGTGGGAAACTAGATTAGAATTAAAAAATTGTTCAAATAGTCAATTTTGTAGTTTATTTCCAGTTTAATGCTGCAGATAGTATTTTCTTATTAACACTTCTGCCTTTGCACTGTTGGAGTCTCTTTTCCTCTTTCACCATGGAACATGTACATGAACTGCTATTTGATCTGGTAGATCAAATTAAGCCCCAAACTAGCAGTAACATTTCTAGAAATAGCTCGGTGGCAAACATTAAAAGCAGGCATTACAAACTGAATAGAAATTTGACCCTAGTATATTTCTTTTATTTGCATATGCCTTCTCTTCTATTTCTTAACCTAAGTTACTGAGTAATGAATAATGTTATTTCCTGTGTTTCTGTTTAGGAAAAAAAAAAAGAAAAACATTGTCTCATTTGTTTCCTGCCATATGTTTTACTATTTTTTTTTTAATTTATTTTTTAATTTGTGAAATGCTATTTCTGTCCTGCCACCTTGTGTTTCCATTTCTTAAACACTACCTGTAAAATAAAGCTTCCTGTTATTTTTGTAAAGCCTCTTGTGTATAAAGTGATTTGGAGAATCTGTTCCCCATACACAGAGTAGGAGTAGTAGTGTAGCGACAAGTTAGTTAATATTTAGCTGAGTAGTTACAACCATATATACATCTGCTGTCTTAGGTGCATTTGAGGGCAGAAAGCAGGAGAAGTGCTGTGTCTGTCTTCCTGCTGGTGTGAGCACCGCAGTGAGGAGCATATGTGGATGTTTCCATTTGGTCTTTGTGTCTCTCTGGTTTCTGTTATAAAATAGCAAGAGGAGAGAGAAAACATTGTGCCTTGGCATACAGGTCAGAATGTGAGTAGACAGCAACAGCAGGTCTTCCACCTGATTTCACTGCAGTCCTTGAACACAAATCCATAGGAGGGGCTCTAGAGCCCATAAAATAGCAGTATCTTAACTTGTGTGTGGATCAAAGCTCTGAGTGATCCCTGTCTGCTGTTTACATAGTAGAGTGAGAAAGAGCTCAGGCTGGCCTTTGTCATGGAAGGAAGAAGCCCCCTTGGGAGGGAAACACACTATTTAGTTTTTTGATTTCTTTCAGACCTGTCTGCAAGTGTTGAAAAACTTTAATTTTATGGGCAGGTACTGAAGCCCATTAGCAGTTATTTTTAAATATCTTGTCCCTCCATGACACTTCTGTTGAAGGTCAAGGGAGTCTGAAGACTCTGAAGTAAAGATCAGTAGTCCTAACATCTTAGGGTAAGTATCTGCCACTCCTCTGATAGGAGGAGTTTGTTACCAACTGTGTTGAGATCCAAAGTGAGTATGGTGAAGGTTAGTCTTGAAGAGGTAAGGGGAATTAAACATTTAGGCATTGTTTCAGGAAAAGTGCATTGTCTTTCAAATGCAGCCAACATTCATAGAATTATTCTACTTAATTCCTTATTTGTGTTAAGTAGATATGCAACTTCTGCCTTTTTTTTTTTTTCTCACCCACTGTGTTCTTTCTGTGTTCATGCTATAACTGTGTGGATGTCTTTTTGCTCTTTACAATTAGTGTGGAAATCTGGAAGTGCTGTGTATTCTTTTAAGTGTGCAGCAATAGTGGATTTATATTGAGATGCAGCCTAATAATTTATATGCTGTGTTGATTCTTAGTATGTATTGAATTCAGTATTTTGTGTATTTCAGATGATAAAAAAGATATTGACCATGAAACAGTGGTGGAAGAGCAGATCATTGGAGAGAATTCTCCTCCAGATTACTCAGAGTACATGACAGGGAAGAAACTTCCTCCTGGTGGAATACCTGGCATTGACCTCTCAGACCCCAAACAACTGGCTGAATTTGCTAGGTAAGTAGGAAGAAGGGATCTTTAAACTAAAATGGTTTTATATTCAGTGGTTTCATTATGAAAACTGTTAGGCAAAATAAATGGTAGGTTTAGCATGGCTTATTGTTCCACTTAATCATCTTCTAAAACAAGGGACTTAATTCAGAACAATAGCTGATACAATGTTAAAATAACTGGGGGTTATATTCAGCAGTGACTTCTTCAATGACTTCTGGTCTTTTGTTCCTGTTGGGTAAGACAGGACCTAAACACATCGATAGACTGCATCTTTGACATGACAGAACATACTTTTCATGTGAGTAGCCCTAGGTTCTTCAGCACCAAAGGATCCTATAAATGAAATGCCGCATTCAGGTTGTTCAGTACAAGAAAGCTAGGCTACAATATTTTGTTAGTAAAGCCCCTTACTGTTCTTATAACGGCTTCTTAATTCTTAGGCTCTAGCTCTCAAACTTTTTTAATCATGTGTCATGCACTTTCAGGTGCCAGTGATAATTGCAGTTCCACAATTGGTAATTATACTGTTTCGATTTTCCTCTAGTGAATCAGAACTGTCACTTGTGTACATATCAGTACGTTGACCTGAGTTACAAGGTGACTTTCACTTTCAAATAGAGGTGAAGTGACAGGAGCTGTTTTTTCTATGGGGGAGTACTGAAAGTGTCCTGTGTCTCTTCCCTTGCTCCATCCGCAGAGCCCTGGGCTCAGGGTGGCCAGTGGCCACCAGATGGCAACCGTGAGGCCACCGGAGAGGCTAGCTGTGGCACCTGGAAGCTGTGGCATTAGGGTTGCCTTTGCAGTGTTTACTTGGACCACTTCTTTCTGTGTATGTGTTTGTAATTACCAAAGGCATACTCCTCCACTTAGCACCTGGGCAGCATTAATGCTGGTGTCTCCAAATATTTGAGCACAACTGTTATCTTCCTGCAGCTGCTATAATTGGTCTTTCTCATGTTGAAAGCAAAACATATGTATGAAGCTACTCTCATTTTCATTTTCTTAGCAGCTGGCTGTTCTTCAGAGCTCTGGTGCCCAGTTCCAACACTTAGAGGTGGATGGTCAGATGCTCTTACTCTTCCTTGGACAGCTAATAGAGGGGAAAAAAAAAAAAAGTTTTGCTTTTTTCTCTTTTTACACCACTGGATTTTTCTGCTAGTTGCTAGATGGCAGGGACCATTGAGACAAGTTCTAATATGGCATCTCGGTTAGGTGGATCTTGGTATCCAGTTTGTGAATCTACTCGTTTCACCTCTTTGATCTTGCTGCCTTTTACAAGCTTGTTCTGTTACTCTTCGGTATTTTTATACCAGAGAGTTGCCAGCACAGCCTTGTCCCACAATTATTTTCTGTAAAGCCACTGAATTATGGATTTTGAAGGCTTCTAGTAAGATAGTTTTGCAGGGCTTGCTCTCTGCTTCGGGCTACTTGATCTGGAAATGTATAAAAATGCGTCATGAACAACTGAAAAGCAGGTTTTATCTACAGTGGTGGGTGGTTCTAGCTATTGATACTGTTGTTACTTGTTTTACTATTGTTGATCAAAATGATCATGTTTTCCTGAGACCTACTGAAAAGTTAATATTTTTTTTGAGAAAGCAAATGTTTGTGATACTCTGAGTGCACATAGTGTTCTAATTCTAAGATGTTACTTATATATTTCTGCTTGTCATGTGCTTAGAATGGTATTCTCAGTTGTTTTAAAACATGCTGAAACCTTCAATTCTATTAAATATTTAAGTACTGAAAAGCTATCTTTTGTTGGGAAGTTTAAATAGGTTTTCATAGGATATTCTCCATGCAAATACTGAATATTTTTTTTCTTCAGATTGAATACTTGAAATGGTTGCAGAATTGGGGCTTTTTGAAATGATCAGATTCTTTCTATAAGATCTGCCATCATATTTCTTAATATTGTAAAACGTAATGCATCTTAGGGTTAGTTTTCTGTTGAGAGAATAGTGGCAGCAGGCAGTAATTTACAATTACCACTTTTTTTTTTTATTCATGGTAGAATGTTCCAGGAAGTTCTAGAACTAGAATTTGTATCAGGTGATGGAAATACTGAGTTCTGTGTGTACAGTCTCTTTTCTGCTACTGTATTCCTGTACAGCAGGTACAGTGTAATCCTGTTCAGTCATAGGACAAATATATGGTGGTGGAGTAAGCAACATGGGGGGACGTCACCTTGAGCAAATAGCCCCAAGTTGCTCAAAGCCTCCAAAGAATTGTTCTGATAGCTTAATTGTGTATGTGAAAACTGCAAACATCTTCTGTTTTAAGAAAGGTTTTTTTGATTTCTCGATCAGAATTGATGTCTGTCAAATTTCTAGTCCTACTTAAAAAAAAAAAAAAAAAAAAAAAAAAAAGAAAAAGAAAAGAAAATGAAAAAGAAAACTGTTAGTTGTATGTTAGATCTTAAATGATTGTGTATAGCTGAGGCTGAAGAATATGGGTGTATTAGAATTTGAATATTGGTTGTTATGGTCTTGGTCCTCTTTCAGTGAAGCAGGTTGAAGGGACTCATAGATTGCTGCGTGCGGTAAAACTGGGTTTACATGTACTGGAATTGGGTTCGGAGGTTCTAAGAATACAGTTGTCTATGCTAAAATAATGTGTTTATTTAGTGTAAAATTCTCTGAAAGTTTCAAGCATTGCTGGTTGCTTTACAATTTAGAATTTTGAAATTCTCAATATCTGTATTCTGAAAACTTTGAGCCGCATGTGAAGTTGAAACTGGTACTTTTAACCTTAGTAGCTTCATGTGCTGTAAGGTTTTGAATAACAAATCTGTATTTTGATGACTTGGAAAAAGAATTGTGCACAGTCCACGTACAAGGAAACATGAACTGGCTAATAAAATTGTATGCTAAGTGTATTTTGTGCAGTTGAGAGCAAGTTACGTTGGGTTGCATTCCTGTTTTCATTAAGGTAATTGAAAGAATCTTGCTATACATTTGTAGGAATTAGCTACTCAAAACCAGGCTAGATTCAGTGTTCATAACCATGCAACTTATTTTGATTAAGGGTAAATTGGTTGAGACATTTGATTCTTAGGAACAAAGTTCTGAGGTTAAGTTTAAATGGGCAAAGTGTGAATTCTAGCAGTAACAGGTTTCTGGCAAAATTCTGGAGTTCTGATCATGATCTGGTTAGTGAGAGATAAGACAGGGGTGGACTTGATGTTTAAAGTCCTCTGTAGCTCTGCAGCCCTTTTTTTTAAAAAAAAAAAAACAAACTAGTAATTCAGCAAATTCAACAGACACCACTGCTGCTCAGCAGCTAGGTGGCACTAGCAGAGGGAGCAGTTATACTGCCTCTTGTGATTCAGCTGCCTTTCACCACTTCTTTAAGTGCATTTGTCATTGAGTCATGTAGCAGGAATCCGGATCCTTTAACTGGAACTCTTAGTTTTAACTCGAAAGGCTTTTACACATTCTAAAACTATTGAAAACACTGTGAATAAACAAGCTGTATCAGAACATTAAGACATGTTCAGTAATGCATAGATGAATGACCATAAATTATACCTGGTTGGGCAATTTATTTCCATTTACAAATTACTTTGTTCTATTGTAGGACTCATGCATTTTCTCTACTATGCTTTAAAAATATGATTAAAAAAATAATTGTGGATTACTCTTATGCAATCATATTAGAATGTGAAACGTTAGTTGTGAATGATCTACTCAGAAAAAAATAAAACCTAATAAATTACCATGTTCAGATTTGATACCTTTGACTGGGATGTGGGAAATCCCTTCAGGTGAAATAAAATATTTCATCCACATCTAAATTGATTATAAGTAATTCTTTAGTTAGCTGTGAATAAGTCGTAACTGCTTGGTGATAAAAGCTTGGCGAAGTGTCAGACATATTTCTAGTTGTTGCACATGGCAAATTCCCTCAAACAAAGCCACTAAAAAGGATATTGCTGATTGCCCTCTCCCTCCCACTTACCCTCCAGACAGATACATGACTGAACTGGCCAAAGTCAGCAGAATACAGACATCAGTAAAACTAAGAAATAAGAGAGGAATATACTGTAGCTGGGAAACTGGCACAGTAATGTGTCCTAGTGGTAAAAATTTCACTGTCTGTGGCTTTATCTTTTGCTCTTGCTAGTAGCTTCTCTGAAACAGCCACTGTGAGGACTGCCCATACTTTTTATCCACTTTACAAAATGAATAGAAAACAAAGGAGAGGAAACTGCATTAAAGTTTGAAATTGGGCACCCTTCTTAAAAGTAACAAAGCATTCTGGTCATCTAGATTTATGACTTAGGCCTCTTTATAAGGTTTTGTATTGGTTTTGCTCTTGTTACAGAGAGCTTAAAGGGCAGTATACTGACAATTGTTTTATCCAAAGTGTTCTTCTAGGGGAGGGGAAACCTCTTGTTCTGTACCACACTGCAAAGGTCACTCTCTGTTTACACCTATGTTATTCTTCATAACTGGAACAAAATGAGTAATTATTTTTGCTAGAATCTTGGAGGTAAAGAGATCCCTCTTGTGACATTTTCCTACCCAACTGTGACCAAAGCATGGTAAGACACTGGCTGTGGGCTCTTTGGTTGTAGTGAGATTCCTAGGACACCTAACACCACTCCCCTTTTGTGTGTTTATCCAAAAGCCAGTCTAGCCAGTTTGAGTTCTTCAGCACAAATGAATTCTTGCAGCAGCATAAGACCATGACACTTATGTTATTTGTGCCTCAACGGGTCAGTACAAAGGGAATGGCAGAGTGAGGGAACAGATCAGAAGTGGCAGCAACACTGCTGATAGAAAATAATTTCCTCTTCTAACTGTTCTTAGGGATGTGGTCATCAGCATGGGTGAAGATCACTGCTGGCCATCAGAGACCTCTAGGATGTGTCAAAGAAGTTGCCCGAGAGAATAATGCTGTTTAGGTTAGATTTATATATGGAGGGAGAAGAGAGGATGTGAGAACACAGAATTTTAACAGGCAAAAAAGGGAAATGATGAAACAAGGGAGAAATCCTA